TGTTGGTAAGATGTGGTCATTTCCCCAAAACATTTCCTTCCATCCTTCTGATTCATTTTGTATCCAAGAAAGCTAGTGATGCAGTATGACCAAAGTAGACAGAGTTCTCAGAGTACAGAGACAGACTGTAGATCCAAAAAAAATGTGCTCAAAAAGACTGACATCCTAGAATTGCAAATGAGCTACACAACAATGCAGCCTGCTCAAGTAAACTCCACAGTGTGGATTCTCTGAAACATCTGTCCTGCGAGGAGTATAGAAAAGCACAAGATGAACATCTGTCATGCACGTTAGAAAGGTAACAGATCAATGGAGAAGTTTCCAACAAATATGGCATCTTCATCTGCAGCTTTTCATTTTCCAAATGTTGACAGCAATCAAGCAAACATCTTAGCAGATATCCGTTAACAACAACCAACTACTGCAACTGGCCTTTGAAGAGCTTCATCTACAAGTCATGTAGTCAGTGGAGAAATACGAATAGACATCATTCGTCATGAACAGCAATATAAGCAACATAACCCTTTTTTCTCATGAGAAATATGTGAGGATGCTCTCTCATATCACTGTGCCAAAGTCTCAGATACAGAATTCCACTCATCCCAAATGTAGGACTTTCGGGCAAAATTAGAAGACTCTTGTTGTAGGACTAAATTAACTGAGACAACTGACTAACTAAGTCAACAATAACTGTATATTCAGCTGCTTACTGATTCCTCAGATCAAACCATGTCCAAGTTCTCTCCAACTTTATAATTAGATTCTGTCCCGTGGCGGGGCTACAAAAAGAGATTTCTCCCTACAAACAGAAAAATCTTATTGGAAAGTTAAAAACTGTCAAAGGTGGGGAGAAAATCTATCTGGACTTCCTGCCACCTGCCTCTACTGAAATCTGAATGTTCGTCAAGCCTCTAACAGTACTGAAGAATACTTACCAGCAGTTAAGGAAGCTTTTTGAATATATTAATTCAATATCTGCTGTACAAACCTAATGAAGCTCTACTTCAGTCATTTTTGGTGCTGTTTCTCTGAATGGCCCTTGTAGTTCTAAGGAAACCAACCAAAAATCTCAGGAGAGTCAAACCTCTGAAGCTACCTCCTCCATTTCCAGTGTTTGTCAGGGACTAGGAGGGACTGGTGTCTCTCGTCAGGATTTTTCACTGAAATTTCATTTAAATTTGCTTGTTAATTCAGCTTATTTTTTTCTTTTAAATGTGTATTTATCCAGAAGATGTCTAAGCCATGGATTTTTCAAGGGGCTTCAATACAATAGGGACGGTACAGAATCTTTTAGTCTTTATGCTTGTGTTTTAACTCCTGTTACAGCCCTGACAAGCCAAGCCATCACCTATGAAGAATTTCAGAATGGATTATGTTAGGCGTCTGCATGCTATGATATTGACTGTTACATATCAACATTGAAACACTGAAATTGGTTCTCCTGGAGTGCAAACTTCATCCTCTGCTTAGCAAGCATCCAGTGTTTGGAAAACCCCTAAACACAATAATCCTCTTACCTCTGTGTAACACTGTTTCCTTGCCTTGAGTGTGAGATCAGATGCCAAGTTTGATATGTCAGTCACACTCTTCAAAAGACTCTGGTACTCCCTGAACTCACCTGAATGTGGGAACATGGTCTTTGGTAGCAGCCAGCAGGAAGCCTCACTCCCGTCTTCCCAGGGAAGCGCGCCTTGATCGATCGCACAGGCAGCAGGATTTGATGCTGTGGCCTCTGAGATTTCAAGTGTTAAGAGCTGAGAGGCTCTCTTCTTTCCCAGGGTCCTCCCTACACAGAATCCTGATTTAATGACTGGCAAAAGCCATGCCTTTCATTTTTGTGTCTGTAGAGCCTGTAAGGACATGCACAGGTTAGCAGTAGCTCAAGCAAAGTGGCAATATAAAAGCCTGGCATTTTTGGCATGCAGATAGAACACCATTAATATCAGGTACCTGTGGGCTACAATATTCTGAAGAGCTTTCCAGACATGCTTCAGGATTCCCTTAGTTTTTCCCCTAACAAATCTTTATTTGGGCTTCCAGTACCTTTATCTTTGTTTCTTGGCCTCTTCTGTTCCCAAGCATCTCTGTTACCTTTTTAAATATGGTAATATCAAGGGGAAAAAAAAAAAAGCAAGCCTGCTATTCCCCTTGCACTTGTCCCTGTTGCATGTCTTTATTCAGAAGCACCTGCTCAGATATTTTACTTCCCATTCCTAACCTGGGGATCCTCTTTTATATCACTTTTATGTGCCCTCGAACTTGTTTGTGATCTGGTCATCTTGGATCTCTTTTCTCTATAATGAATGTCGCTCAGGGCATTATCTCTTGGTTGAACTATTACTGTCATTTCTCATTCGGTTATATGCACATCACTTGTGTACCAGGCAACAGGAACAGGATGGAATAGCTGAGGTTCCTTTGCAGGTTAGACCACATGCAGTGGAGATACGCTGTAAGCTTGAGAGAGATGGCTCTAAGCCTCTTACACCTTCTTTTAAGTGGCCTCATTCCTCAAAAAGCTTTTTCAAAGATATTATACACATGAAGTATTGCTTTTGTACATTGTTCTGTAGAACATTGTTGTAGAAGTGAAATCCGGAGCAGTTTAGATGGGAGTTAGACATTGGCTTTAATTGCAAGTACCTATCACCATGATTTCTTTCCCTTGGGTGCCAAGTGCCTGTTTTTGTACTAAAATTGGTATAGCTGCATAGCTTGCAGAGTTAAAGATTCTCTCTCTCTGTATGTATATGGTAATCTTTCTACAATATAGTTAGGAATCACCACAGCTGAAAGTCTCACAAGTTATCAGATATCTTTGCCTAGTCCCTTTGGTCACTCTTTAGCCAACGTGGAAAATGGTGGGATTTGGCTCCTCTTTCAAATCCTTATGGATATTAAAGAAGGTACTGAGCAACCCCAGTTCACTGTCTCACCCTTATATACCCATGCACAAAACACTGTATTAAACACAAGCATATCAAGAGCCTCAGCCCACCATGCCAGGGTCTGTACAAATATCACCTGCCACCATTAACAGAAGCTCTCCTATTTTGCTTTTGAGCTGTTGTTATAGTTTCTGGTATAATTTATTTCATAACTGACCCCATCTTAAAACATAGGCTGTTAGGGGAATGACCGAGGAGTCAGTCAACCTCTGCTTTCTTAGCAGTGCCAAAGATACTCAGAACATGTGGTTCATGGTTTTTTAATGCCTTGCCAACTCCTTCAAAATTGAGCCTTCCATTTCAACAGTGCAGTCTTGGCGCCTTTTATAGTCATACCTTTTATAGCAAATTTTTTACTCTATTACACTGCTATTATCATCATTTTCAGGCAAAATGATAAGAAAATGACAATTAGAATAGAGTATTCCGTGGTAGCTTACAAGGCTTCCTCGGATACTCAGATCAGACTACACTGAGATGCACTGACATTGTCAACCAGGAAAGATGCAGAATCCTGAAAGGTGCTGGAAACTTTCTGGGTACCTTCAGTCAAATCACAGCTGCTGTAGATCTTCTACCAGGAATACAGCAATAGCAGGTTGTGACTTTCTGCTATTCTTAGAAAAAGATGATTTGCAAAACTGATACAAAGTGGAAGGGGATGGTACAGGGAAAGTCACTGTTGGAAATGAGAGGTTTGCCCAGCAACATGAAATCAAAATTTACGCCTGGTCAGTAAGAAGTGTCTCCTGTGGACACTGCTCCCTTATTTGGTATTCAAGCCATATTTTGCCTGTATGTGATCTGAAAAGAAAACACAAGACCTGAAAGAGGAGAAGAAAAAGCAGTGAGAGCTGACAACGCCAAACCAATCAGTTAACCCAAAACAATAGTATAAGACCAGGTGTAGCTTGGATTTATAATCATTCTCATTTGTATGTTTTACCAAATAGGCTGGGCATCCAAAGTACAGTATTTGTTTAGGTAATAAAAAAGTACAATGCCAGTTAGGTTAGTGCCGTGTGCTGAGAGAGCAGGAGCGGGAGCCCTTCGTGGCACTAGAGGGCAATTCTGCCATGGGAAGAAGAAATTTATCAGTTTCAGCTTGGCTGAGGTACTATATTTGCCATATAGGGCATATATGGCATATAACAGAGGATAAGCCTGGCAGATTATGCTGCCATTTAACCAAAGGACCCCCCGTGAAGTTGTTTTTACTTATTTTTAATTCCGCTTCTTCCACCTAAGGGTATTTGCTGCCTCAAGTGTTCTTTAGAATTGACTTCAGTATTGGAAGGAGCCCCAGAATTTAATCAAGGACATGGTATTTGCAGCAATTTGATTGTTCCCAGGATGGCTGGGACTCAGCTCAGCCTCAGTGGACACATCCATTAGGTCCCTGGAGCTTTCCTGAGACTTGGGCGAAGTCAGAGCAAGCTAAACAACAACTTTGCCATCCAACTTCCCACAGCTGGCAGTGCGTTCCGCAGGGCTGCCAAGAGCATGATTACACTGTCCCGGCCCATTGTTTTATTAACAACAATGTAATCACGGAGAACTACATGTAAGGGAATGGGGATGTATAAATAGAAAGTGTTGCTTTAGCATTGAGCTGTTAAGGGTTTACAAATCAAGACTGATGCACTGGAAGTTGGCTGTTCCCTATGCAGACGCGGCCTGGATCTGAGCTGGAGAGCTAAATGAGTACCTCTGTTGAACTTGATAGTAGAGATCACAGAAACATTTTAACGGTATCAGTACTTCAACTACCTGGGTTCCAAGATGTCCAACACTGCTACTGGGTCAAATTCACATGCGGTGTTAGTGGGTACAGCTCACCTGAAATTCAGCGGGAGTTGTTCCTACTTGTGCCATGGCCAACTTTGGTCCTGTGTGTCCCAGGGAATGAGCCCAGCCTCTTGTGCATTTCTTTCACACTCCCATTTGCCCTCTTCTGCCATTTTGTTGCTCCTGTGTTAGCCAGGACCTAGGCTACTAGGCCTCTTGATTGGAGACTTATTACAGCTTATTTCTGTCTACCTTTCTTTAAAGCCAGCTGAACATACCCAATGCTCTTCCTCTATGGTAAGACCGAAAATACAGACCACCCTCCCAGCTTCTGTGGCACTCTTTCTAACACACTCCTTTATTCTCTTCCCCCTGATCACGAGTTCTCTCTCCAAGCCCAGCCTAGTTATTTGTGCATGAAGCTGCCATGTTGTGTATTGGTGTGAGTCTGGTGTTCACGTGAGCTGTGAATATGCTGCACATGTGTATTTCTTGTGCATCCTGAGCTTTCCTTTGGTCAAGTTAACTGTTGTTCTGCCTTCTAATGAATCACCAAGAGAGAACAAGAACTGATAAGATTTCTTGTTAGCAACACACCCTCAGGATCAATGTGTCACTGAATGGGTTTGCAGTGTGACCTCGTGCCCAAACTTACAGACTAGAAAGGATTAGGACTCAGAAGCTCCCATTTGAGGAGGTGATGACTGTAACTTTAGGGTTTTTACTTTGGACAGATAAGAATAGGATGTGCAGTAGTACACACTAACGGTACTGCTCGAGGTCCAAGGCAGTCCTCACACAACCCCAGCAGAGCTGCTTACCCAATCCTGGGTTGCCACTTTGTGAATATTCCCTCCTCTGCTAAAGATAAGCCATCCCATCAAAAGTCTGGATGAAAGCAAGGAAGAATTAAGTAAAGCTGTGCAAACAGTGGCTAATCTGTAGCCACCTAGTTCTAAAATGAAGCCAAATCTCCCTCAGGCCTTCTTTTGCCTAAGTTTGATTTGGCTGAGTACTAGTTTGATGGCAGTAAATTGCAGGGAACTGTAGGAATTTGTTCCACCTTGTCCACTGCTTACATTTTGTCTAACCCGGGAAAGTAGGGCTGATTTTCTGCTCACAGCTCCTGCCGCCTGTCAGAAAAAGGAGGCAATACTAAAGCCTTTCCAGACCAATGTCCCAGCTCGTTGCCACCCAAAGGGCCAAGCCCATGAGAGCACTGGCCTTTAAAGTAAGCAAGTACCTTTTTCTTAGGCGCAGCTCCAGCAAGACTGCTATCCACATCCTTTTTTGAAAAACTTGGACCTCAACTCTTTTTATAGGTGGTATTGAAATTGAGGTGCTTACAGAAATGTGAAGGAATTTCTTTAGGATGAGGAGAGGTGTGTGACTTTATATTCAGCCATCTGGAGCTGTAGTTCTGAAGGCGTCACATGCCAGGATTATTTGAGAGGCTAGAGACTCTCCTTTGCCTTCAGAACAATTCCCTCCCATTTACTGAAGCTCCCAGGCTGTGGTCAGAAAAAAAGAGGATGATTCAGGGAACACTCAGGCTGTTCCTGGGCATATCCTGTTCCCCTAGTTCCCTGCCCTGTTAACTGCGTGGGCAGCCCGCATCAACCTCTGTAGCTTATGGAAGGAAGATACCCAAAATACCCACCAGTGTCTCCCAGATGTAGCCAGACTGCAGCTTTGCTGCAGTGCTGAAATGCTAAACGCACCGCTGTGTTTCCTGAGCGAGGCAGTCTCACTTGTGCACAGCAGAGCAGCAAGCAGCTACAGCCGGTGCGCAACACTGTGCAACACTGCCGCTGCCTGACGGGCAGCGGGGCAGAGAGCGGAGCTGGCAGAGCCGGCGGGAGGCTGCACGGCGCGGGCTGGCGCGGGAGCCAGCGCGCAGCACACGTGCATGCTCTCAGCTGCACACGCTGACATTGAGTCACAGAGATAGGCATCCGGGCAGTTTCCACACCTTGGATTTTTGTAGGAAGTAGGAACGCAAGCCGATGCTGGCTTTGTTGCGCTGTGACAGGAAATCCAAAGGGTCTGTTCTCTCTTGGTTTACACAGTGGTGAGTAGTTAACAGCAAGGGTGATCTGCACTGTTTCCTCGTCCTAAACGTAGCTCTTTTGGGGCTTAGACTCAAACTCTGTACTTTGCAGGCTGGGTGGGGATAGGTTACATTCCCATAGTGCTTCCAGTGGCGGCCACCAGCTCCACAGACTTCACACAGTATTTTAGGGAGTAAATGATCTGGGGACCGCATTGCATTTTATGCGCCTTGCCTCCTCTCGAGCTAGACAGCAGGTTCCTCCCAGAGGCCAGGTAAGCCTGCTGGCATCTCGGCATTCAGAAATCTGTTGCCTTCACATGTGTGAAGTCTGAGGAATGTGAAAGCTGGTTACAGGCCCAGGGGAAAATGCTTAGGGACAAAGCAGATGCTGTGAGAAAAACAGGCCAGAAAAAAAAAAAAAAGGTATTTAAAAATACTGCACGCCTGAACAGTAGCAGTAAAGCCTTTTTTAAAAAAACAAAAAAAAAGAAAAAAAGTCAGCGCACAGGCTGTGGGAAATACAAAGGGGTCATGAGAAACGCAAAAGCCCAACGCAGAGCAGCGGGAGTTGGAAGCACAGCTCAGCGCCCAGGCGCTCAGCCGCAGCACACACGAGCAGCAGGACTGTCAGAGATACAAGAAACACGAGCAGCTGAGCTGGGGCAACACATGCTGTGCCCTTACGGGGCTTCACACGCCAAAGCAGAGCTGGGACCTGCTACTGTTTCCCAGCAGAGCCAGCTACACGTCTGATCCGCAGCACCAGACTCACTGGGGCTGCTGGCTGAGGTTTCTGCTGTGGTAGCTTCAGAGACAGATCCAAAGAGACAGTATCTTTCTTCTCCAGCACAGTGTCAAAATAGAATGGCATCTCACCAGCATAATGCTGGGGGGAAGTGGAGCATGGACAATCCCTGATCACTAAAAGTCCAGGCATCTTCAGTGGAGATGCTGATGGCCTTGAAAGCCCCCACAGAGCAGCATCACTACCATGGGAGATAGGGCATGCCAGGCCAGTACCCATCTGTCCCTGAGGTGCTGGGGCAGCACAACACTCGGGAGGGTGCCCGGGACCAGGAACAGTGCAGTGAGCTCTCGGTGTAGTGTTCTCTGTGACCCAGGGCCTTTGTTCCCCCCGTGCTGTTGTAACTCCTGCCTCTGTGCCAATGGCTTCCAGAACGCAGAGGAAAACTCTCGCATCTCAATCACCTTCTTCCGACTCTTCCGCGTGATGCGTCTTGTGAAGCTCCTGAGCCGAGGGGAGGGCATCCGGACGCTGCTTTGGACCTTCATCAAGTCCTTCCAGGTACTCCTTTACTTATCTGTAAATCATATGGAATGCCTAATTCTTTTTACCCCTTTTTTTGCCCCTCAAAGCGGGGTTTCCCATGAGTGGAAGTGCCAGAGTACAAAGGATGCTCATGAGTCCTGTGCATAAAAGTGGCATATGGCTTGAATGCTACTCAAGCAACCCGCTCGTGGTGGATGACTGTCTGGGTATGAATTTCATCTTTAAAGCATGAGTAAGTGCCTAAGACCTTCCTGAACAGCCTTGATAACTCAGTTCCACTCAATTACAGACTGTAACCCTGTTGATCTTTTTTCCATTTTGGTTGAAAAATACCTGTTATTGTAGGTGAAATGCACATCTGAGAGGAAAGTTTGGGTCTCAATTAAATTTCTTTTAAGCCTTGTTTTGAGGACTACCAGTGAGTATTAGAGATGTGTGGCCCCTGTGCTACATTCAGGAAGAATATCATCTTTCCTGCCCTACACCTTTGGCCTTGATAACAATGCCAAGCTGTTAAATTGCCGCTGTTTTTACCCTGGAGACAGCTGCACTTTGGTGATGGGTGAAGTATCAGAGTAGACAAGGGAAGAAGAAGAACAGAGTGGATAAGAATTATCTATCTATCTGCTCTATGGGAAACAAACACAGAGAAACCCACTCACTAGAAATGCTTCTTTCAAACCATCCAGTATTGGAATGATGTGTGGAAAAATGGCAGTTAGAGATGAAGAGGGGCATGTTTCTACATTTTACAGATATTTGACCTGTACTTATTGGGCTAGCACAACCTAGATGTTAGCTGAGGTAGTGGCAGGGAAAATACAGCACAGTGATACAAATGGTGGTCTAAACGTAAGAAAAGATGCAGGATGAGGTAAAAGCATAAAAGAGTAACTTTCAAACACAGAAGTCATAAAACAGCAATCAGATATTCCCCAAATTCAGGCTTTAAATGGTTGATAGCATTTTTACTGATCCAAATGGTAAAGGAACTGACATGAACTTGAGAATTTAAACTTCACCAGCTACCAAGTTTGTACCAGCTCCACTTGTCCCAGCTCTTGGCTGGAGGGGATGAGGTGGATGGGAAAGGGTGTGCCTGGTGCTTCCCTCCAGTGACCTCAGACCTCTTTGTTTGGAGAGTCAGTCTCTCGATGGCAGGGCCGTGGGATGGTGGGAGGAAATATCAAGGGAGGTATCTTCCACAAGCAGAGGGAGAAAGCACTGGGAGCAAGTGCCTTTTCCCTTGAAAGCCTCTAGCTGCTTGTAACATGCCCTTCTCTGATGAGAGCTCCTCCTTTCGCAACTACTGTTAAGTTACTTTCGTAACTAAGAATAGCCACAGTGCAGAGCCCTTAACTCCGCCACTCCCATTGTCAAAGTCCGGGATCCCTGTGGACATTTCTGTCTGGCAGAGGCTTTTCTCTGTGTCCCCGTGTGCTTCCAGGAAGTGTGTTCCCTCTTACAGGACAGCTTAACAAGCAGTGAACTTGTGCAGGAGTTCAGATGTCATCACAGCCACCGGGTGCCCTGTGCATGAGGCACGGTCCATACAACTTGGGGCACTGGTCAGGGGAGTGTGTGGTGGGAAAACTGCTCAGTGGGGTTCCCGGAGCCTGGAGTGACAGAGACCAGGCTGGCGGGTGGGAGGAGTAGGAAGTGAGAGGGGTGCTGAGAGCAAGGCAAGGCCGTGGGAATGGAAAGGACAAGTGGTAAAACCGGAGAAAGACAGAGATGAAGAAGGACAGACTTAGAAGAGTGGAGTATGGGAGATGGCGAAAACTGAAGGACACATAGGAAATAAGGGGCAGAGATGAGTAAGAAGGTACATCAGTGGAGAGGAATGGGCTGAGCAGAAAAAAAAAATGAGTGGAAAGCAGAGTGCTAGGAGGGAGGATAATCTTACAGTCACTTTGTGAAAGCCAGACAAACTCTCAAGGTTATGCCCTTTATGTTCTGTCTGGGCACTATCCCAGGAGCTCTTCTGAGGTCCTGTGTGACTCTGCCCAGGGTGGATAGTCACAAAATGTATGTGACTGTCAGCCAAACTCTGTTCTGGCATGTCTGCATTGTGGGACATGATTTGTTGGATCCCATAAAACCTAGAGGAATCTCTGAGTCTTAAGATGATGATTGCAGGCAATGTTCAAAGGTTTAAATTTGGGGCATCATAACATTCAAATTCCTTTGAGACAATTTCTGCAGGCCTTAGTCAAATCCGCATGGTTGTCAGTAAAAAAAATCTTCTTGAATTCTTCCAGTGGAATTTGACCCTATCGAAATTTAACATAAACTTGAAATGTGTAAGTAACCTCAAATAAAACCAAAATTAATGTTGTGGGTATTTGATATTCCATGAAGCAGGATGTTCAAAATCAAGAGCAGGGAAAGTGCTCACATTTTTAGGATGAATATGTCTATGCATCTCCTCCAAAGTAAGATCTGAAAATCCCTGGTCAGAGCACAATACATTTCAAAAGGAACAGCGTAGAAAATTCCTTCTGGAAAGCCCAAGCTTGTGAGGTCCAGGGTTGTGCCCTTCTTTCCTGCTGGTGGCAGAGGGAGCTGCTAGCACTCAACACTGCTGATTGTACTGGCCTACTCCTTACCCGCCGGCACTGCCTATCAGGGCTCTGCATTCCCTCTTCAGCAGCTCATCACAGACACCTCGCACACTAGACACACCATCACAAGCATCTAATGCTGAATAGGGAACAAAAGTGGTTCTGCTGAAGGTATCTAGGATGGTACCAGCCGCTGTAGGAGAAGCCTTGAACTCGGCTCTTGACAGCTGTCACATTTTTCATTCCAGCAGATTGGATGCAGACAAAATCCCAGGCAAGTCATTACCGTTAGTCACCGAGTAGTGCCGATGGCAGCTGTTTTCTCCCGTCGGTAAATAGCCGTGCGTCCTGCGGGCCCCCTCCGCTTCCCGCTGTGCCACGGGCAGCCCCGCTGTGAGGGAGGCAGAGCCGGGCAGCGCGGGTGGGAGCGGGTCGGCCCCGCGCGTGGCGGGCAGGACAAGCGAACGTGGGCCTAGACAGGCACCTAGTGGCCGCCTGCCCCAACTACAGACTCCAAGTTCGGCCTTGGCAAAGCCAGGCTCAGTGTGCCAAGCTCAATGCAGACACAGTGCTCTTTCTCTCTCTCTCTCCCTTTTTGTTTTTATTTTTTCCCATTTGTAGGCTCTCCCCTATGTGGCTCTTTTAATAGTGATGTTGTTCTTCATCTACGCCGTGATCGGGATGCAGGTAAGTGATACTGAGAAGCTCAACTATCTCTAATGGGAAGTTGCTAGATCAGTGCATGGTGGTGAGGACCTACCATAATGTTTAGTCCTGGTAATGTAACAAGGTGGCTCACCTTGACTGGCAAACATGTGTTTGTATGGGCTGTGAGCAAGAACACAGTACACACCAGCAGATCCAAAAGGAACTCTATTTAATATTAAAGCACGATGACATAGAAAAAGTTACATGCCAGCCCTCCACACTCCCAAAGGAATAAACTGCAGCTGTAGCAAAGGTGATTTACTGGCTTGCTCTTCATCGCAAAGTAGTTGTTTCATTGGGCTCATGGCCATCCCACACTGAGCAAACCTCATTTTACTCTCACATCACTTTTGCACTGGTGTAATTCCATTGAGATGTAAAGAACAGCTTTTGCTTTACACCCATGAAAGCAAATATGGGATCAGACAGAGTGTACCAACTCTGTATGTTTATGCCAGTTTTTCAGGAAGCTGCGTCAATACAATATCCTATTTAGCTGCATAAATGAACTTGGAAGCAGCCTGAGCATTCATCTGTGCAAGGAACTGATGTTGCATGCAGCCTATTGAAGAAAGCATGTGATATAGGCACGGTTTGTGACAGTCCTAGCCTCATCTACTGTGCTGCTTTTCAAACTACGCTTCACTTTCCACTTGGGTCTTATCAGACATCTCAGAGAAATCAGCCATTCGGGACCAGTGATCAAAGTATAGAAAGGCGCTACATAATTACTTCCAGAGGTCTTTAAATATGACAAGCTTCTTGGGTTTACAATTCAGACAGAATTGTAACAAAATTCGTTTGGCCTCTGTGACCATTTTTTGTTTCATGTTGTCATAATGACATTTTTTTACAGACTCCCATTCACTCTTCCCCAGTTTGAAAAATAAAACTGATAATTTCTTGAATTATTGTAGGTTATCTCCTTTCGCCCCAGTAACTGCAGCTGTCATTTAATCTACCAGATACTCACAAGAAACGTGCCAGTTTTGCCTTAATACCTAACTAGCTCAAATGGCCAAGATCTTGACAGGATTACCTCTGCCATGTAGAAAATCACTTGAGAATATTGTGTTGATGTTATGTAACTAGAGAAAGCATTTAAGGTGGCTTCCAAGCACCTTTCAACTTTCAGTCTCTAATGATCCTATCTCTACCAAGGCTATATATGATTCTGTAATTCTGCTGCCTTCCCTGTGAACTGGTTTTAAGTTGACTATTTAATTCTGGGTTTAGGTTTAAAGCTCTGTTTTAACCATTTCAGCATCCTGAAGGTCATCTAGCTCTCAATCATGTTGAACTACATTACATCGTAGTTTACTAGATCACTTTAAACCGCCCTTTCACTGACAAAAATAGGAATTCTCAACCTCCCCTCATTGCTTAGAGTCTGCAGACCCATTATCATCACTTTTTGTCCTCATGTTATTTCAGATATTTGGTGTGCTGCTCTCTTGAACCTACTGACACATAAAGTTCCTTCAAACATAGGGACACATAGGAGGGAAGATCCTTTACTGCTCTCTTAAGCAGCACTCTTGAATGCCTAGATATGCCAGATCTGATGTCAACATAAGAATTTCTCACATAAAGGAGACCTGTTATTTTATCTCAGCTATTCCCCTGACATTGAGTAGAACAACATTCAAGCTTTGCTACCTGATATGCCCATGGGCAAATTGGTGTTGATGGATGAAGTTACTAATATAATGGTCCAAGAGGCAGAGATTGAAGAGATCAAGCAAGAGAAACTTCTACCTGCAGCTCTTCATGGCTTAGTAATGCAAACACCCATAGTAGTTGTTGCCAGTGCATCTTGTGTGAGGGAAACCACAGGGTCAAAAGGATGATCCCAGACTTCCAGCATGGGAAGCTCCCTTGCCTATACTTGCCTGAAATGAAAAACATGGGCTGCCTAAGCTCGAGCTGCCTCTGAGCATTTAAACTGTCTTCCTGCTCCTCCTTAATGCAGCTGGGACTGTTGCTACTACCCACGGTGGGGCTGGGGAAGGCCCATACATCCAAGAACAACCCCTGCAGAAAGTCTGCATACAGACACTCCCTCCTGTCTGGAATGGCCTCCCCATCATTGTCCCTGTGCTTCACTCCACCTCGTTATTTGTCTTAGGGTGTTAATTACTGGTGACATTTGCTTGAAAAGAAGCTCTGGGTTTTCTCAGGGCTGCTGTGTTCCTGCTGCTCATTTTGGCTATGAGATTACAGCTCTCAGTCCTTGAGATCTCTGTCATGTTGCTATTGATGGGGAATAAATAGCCCTGACTGATTATGTTGTGCGGAGACCTTTCTGCCAGGCAAGGGTTGTTAAGCTCTTTTAGTCTCAATTCCCATAAATACAAAAGTGATATAAGACTTTCTTAGAGATGCCCAAAACCCTCCTGCACAGAGACCTTTACATCTCAGGCTGCCAAAAGGTTTGCTCATCATTGTAGACTTTGTCCAGTGACTGGGTGAACTTGATGCAGCAGTGGTTGGCTGGGCATGGAAGGAAACTAAGCCGTTTTTATGTGCTTAAGGAAAGGGCCGTTAGATTCTAAATTAAAACTTGGAATAGTCAAGGGATAGGGCACAGATAACCCCAGGTAGATTGAAATAGCTTTGTACTGAGCTATTGATGCACAACTGTTGAAGTAGAGAATGAAGCAGAATTTGTCTTACACAGTGCCCTAAACTGTTACCATCCCTTTGTGCCTAAGACCAAATTCCCTGAGGCCCTATAATTCTTGAGCTGTCTTCTCTGCAAGTGTTGTCTTTGCAGATCATCCCAAAGCAGTGTACAAGCCGCCAGCCTGTTTCTGTTCCACAGGGCAGATCCACTGCTTTCAGCTGCATTATGAGGCTTTTAAGATAGGTCTTCTCCTTCGTATGCCTCTCTTCTTTACATCACTAAACCTTTGTCCCTGATTTCATCTCTTGTTATTTTTTTTGATTGATCCATTCCCTTCTTCTCTGGGCAAATCTAGTCATCATCTTTGCACTGCTGTATTCTCAGGGGCTGTAAAACCCTTTCTGGTGACAACTATGGTTACTAGAGGCGCAGACATTTGGATAATCTCTAGATCCAAGGCAAGGTATTTACATTGTTTTAGAAGATACAAGGCATCCCACAGAGTTGGAAGCTCAAGGCTTTGCAGCTGATGGTCTTTTGCTATGCTTTCCTTGGGGAAGACAGCTAAGCAATGAAGGAAGGACCCTTTTTTCTGTGTTAACTTTTTTCAGCTGGACCTCCTTCCCCTATAAGTGCTTGTTGAACAAGACCTGGTATCACCTTTTCACAGTGTATGATATAAGGAAGGATGCTTCTTGTTAGGGTGTGAGTGCTTTTCTGATGATAAAGCACAAGCAAGGGAAACAGCAAATATGAAAACCAGTGGAAATGTTCTGTAAGTGACAAGCAGATCCCATTACATATCAGATCCCCTGAGTCAGACTGAAATGAAGAGCTACAAGTGACAAGAGGTTTGGGGTTTTTGCAAGGCTAACCTGAAAAGACCTCTGCTTTCTGCCAGGTGTTTGGTAAAATTGCGCTGAATGATACCACAGAAATCAACCGCAACAACAACTTCCAGACCTTCCCCCAAGCAGTGCTGCTGCTTTTCAGGTGGGTGTCTGACGGTTCTGGATAGTGTCAGTCTGGGAGTGCTATTCCTTTGCTCTTGGACACAGCTTATCTGCTTCTATCGTGGCATGCTCATGAGGTGAGTAGAAACATGTTGTCCCTCTGTAGGGGAGCCCAGGGGTTATGTCAGATGAAATGACTGGTCTGTTAACCCTCACGCCTGCCAGCCGACACAGGCCAACCTGGGTACCTGCAGGGAGGCAAGTCCTTCTCCTGAAAAGGAAGATGGCTGATTATTCAGTTCCATGAAATGCTCCTTTTCTTTGAAATCCAGACAGTAGAATTCCCTGCTTATTGGAGCAGAGAAAGGAACAGGATCCCTGCGTGTGCCTTGACATGGCCATGCCTAACTTAGCTTAGCTGCCATCATGCTCCACTTGTGGCCAGGTGTGCCAGGACCAGGAAAGGCTGCTGAAGAGAGGGGAGAGAAGGGTTGGGAGTTGGCAGGAATTCTGCCTTCTTCTCATGTTTGCATGGGGAGGGGGAGAAAGGGAAATTAGGGGGACTAAAATCAAAGATACCAGATGTCCCCTTGCATTTAGCATCATGTAATCCATAGCCACGTCACGTGAGTCACCCTGAGACTGGCAGGTTGGAGCATGACAGCCCCATATGCAGACCAGACTGGTTAAAGAACAGCACGTTGACCACGGCAACAAAGCCAGGGAGAGCAGTGGGATATTCCAGTGTGTGTCACAGGCAGGCTCTGCCTCTTTCCTGATCGGCCTAACTTGCTCTTAATTGACCTTCATGCCCAAATTTCCATTAACATCCTGGGAGCAGCTTGCTAATGTACCAGCCTCTCCTCTCTCACGTCGAGGGTGACTGTTGACTGGCTTTTCCCTGTGCCATGTCCAGGTGTGCCACCGGTGAGGCCTGGCAGGAAATCATGCTGGCGTGTCTCCCAGACAAAAAGTGCGACCCGGAATCGGAACCGGCCAACTCCACAGAGGCCGATCACTCCTGCGGGAGCAGCTTCGCTGTCTTCTATTTCATCAGCTTCTACATGCTCTGTGCCTTCCTGGTGAGTCTCTACTGGCAACTCAACGGGCCTCAGTTTTGCACAGCAGAAAAATCATCTCAAAGATGTGAAATCTCCCCATCGTGTCTTTCCCATGACAGTGCTCCCTTGATCACTGCAACTCCTGCCTCTCTTTGGAGCTCTGGGGGATGCTGTGCTTGCAGTCCCAACCCTTTGTGCACTGCAAAGGAATGCTCTTCCACACTTCCCCTCAATGAGAAAACCAAATTAACGTGTTGTGGGCCGTGCTGAGGCTAGCAACGCCTCAGTCACACTTCCCACCTTCCCTCCTACCTTCCTTCTGCTTGCTGATCAGGTTTTTCCTCCCCTGCCAGCAGCAGTGACTGTGAGAATACACATATTCCACTTGCATCTGTTCAGTGTTGGCAGTGCAGCATTGCTTGGAGCTTCAGCACATGCTCTGCAGCTGGCATCAGTGCACAAAACTCTCCCAATGAACAGCAGCAACATTTTAAAAGGCTTGATCCTGGGCCAGGAGAAAGGACTTTTATCTCAGCCCCACTGCTTTTAGAGGAGAAATCCCAGTTTCCCCCACCATTATCACATTCTTCTGGGAAAAGCCATGGGCAAATAAAAGGCCAGAACAGTGTGGCTAACAAGGCAACAAACCTGAGCCATACCCATTCATTTGGGAGGAGAAAGGCATGGTCAGCCAAGAATATCCTGCCTCTAGGATCTTCTTACTTAAACTGGGGAGCTGTCATGGGGGAACAGAGAACCCACGCACACACACATACAAATAGCTTCCCAATTTTATGAGTCAAAATTCAAGCTTTGAACTGGGAACCTCATGATGTCTGCTGTTACCTGCCTAATCCACCAAATCATCTCTGTCCTTGCTTGCAGATCATCAATCTTTTTGTAGCTGTTATAATGGATAACTTTGATTACCTGACGCGAGACTGGTCCATTTTAGGACCACACCACCTGGATGAGTTTAAAAGGATCTGGGCAGAATATGACCCTGAAGCCAAGTAAGTGACCCACCAGAAATACCAGTACATCTCAGGAGAACTGAGATGCACTGCAGCCAGTACCATATTTCTCCTACAGGAACACTTTCTGCAAACACCCTAAAATAATTATCTCCACAAGGTATTGCTGCTGAAAACAGTGACCAGCAGAGAGAGAATACACACAGAAATCTCAGCATCTAGGCTGCATTTTCAGCTGACAGGGCATTGCTTCACTTTCAGTCAAGGGTTGGGGTACAGTCAGGTTTTTTTTTAGGGAGGACAGAGCAGGGAATTCAAAGGAGGTCAGAGAGTTATTTTATTGTGGCGTATAGTAAGGATGCATTGAATCCAAGCTGTGAATCTTCTGTTTGACTTTCTACTCATCGTAGAGCTGCTGTGCTCAAATTTCCATTTTGTAACATGTCATCACAACTTGTACCTTCACATGACTGCATTACATGGTCCGTAGGATTGTTCACATCAGCAGACTTGGAGAGATTTAAAGTTACGCAAGAATAACAAGAATAAGTCACCCAGGAGCTTAACTGACATCTGTTAGTACATGCTCTCTTTGATGCATGCTTAGGCTTAAAGTACATTTAAATCCCTGTGGTATTATAGCATAAATGACAATTGCAATTATAAAGCCCCCTTAATAATGCAAAAACTGTGGAAAGAGATCTTAGTGTAAACTAAAAGCAGATCTCTGTGGTTCTGGATCTGTAGACACAGTCTCAAGATTAATTTGGACTCAGACTCTGCAGGATGTGAGACTGGGAACCTTTCTTCACATTCTTCACATCTATAGTGACTGTCCAGGAAAAAAAAATCAATAGACAATAAGCAGAATGTCTTTATAAGTACATTGCTTTCTAACAACACGTATGCTAGTATTTGTGCTTGTTTGTTTGAAGACAAAACTTCAGTGGCTGGAGTCATATAACAGATAACGCCTCACACCAGACAACATCTGGTTCCTTCCCATCCATAAATGTGCATTTTTTTTTTCCTCTTCCTCACGAATGTCCCAAGTCTGAAGCTCCAGCTCTGGCTCTGCTGGCTCTCATCTCGTCCTAAGACAATTTTCCTTTTGGGAGGCCATTTACAAAACTTGAAAGAAATCAAGCTGCTGCTCTCTATGTGTGTTTATAGAGGCAGCTCAAGTCCTCGTTTCCCACTGGTTCCAGTGACAGCCAGAAGCATAAACAAGAATCAAAAGACAGTGCCTCAGGGCTAGTCGTCTGGGAGGTAAAGCGCCAAGAAAAAAAGAAACCCTCGGCACTGTGTAAGCGTTACAGCCCTGAGGCCAGCAGGGGCCAAAGCAGCCGCAGATTTAGAATAGGTCAGAGGTGGGGAGACAACCCTGAAGTGCCAGTCTGTGCACTTTGCGCCCGCAGCATGCCAAGCATTTAATTCATGCAGGTATTGACCTGTGTTTGACTGACTACTGTGTTTTCTGTTATGTGAGCGTTGGGCAAATCCAGAGGAGTGCACGGAAGTCTGAAATACCAGGATACAGAGACTGGCAATGTGGGTCTGGAAAGACCTCAGTGATCCTTGTGGCTGCATCTGCATTCTGCAGATAAATCAGCAGGTTACCCTGTGTTAAGGATGCAACCCTCATCTTGCTTTTTTCCTTAGGGGACGGATCAAGCATTTGGATGTGGTGACACTGCTCCGGCGGATTCAGCCACCCCTGGGCTTTGGGAAGCTCTGTCCTCATCGCGTGGCTTGCAAAGTAAGGCTGGCAAAGTACAGTTTGGGGAAGGCTGGGAGTCAGGAGCAGCAAAACACAAGCAGGGCCCTTCTATAAGTAAACCTGAGCATAAGATCCAGGCGATGCACAGCCCTGGTGCTTCCCTGCTAGGCAGGCTGCTGCTGCTTAGCACACACCACAGGCCTTTCACAAGGCAAGGCGCAGCAGCCCTAGAAGTGTGAAGCACCTAGAGGTTTCAGGATATTCCCTTGGAGAGCGAGCTGGAGCAGGAGCAGCAGTGCACGAGGCAGCGTGCGCTGCCCTGGCATGGGCAAGCTGCGAATAGTGCGTGTTTGACCCCAGGCTGTTTCTGCTCTGCGCAGCTCCCCTCCTCCTTTGGACTTGCAATAAGCTGCAGCAGGGTCCTCTGCTCTGTGACGGGCAGGAGCTCCTCCAGGGAGAGACACTAATGCAGCACTAGCTGTGTCAGCCCTGTCTCTAGCCAGGACAGCACGCACACACACTCTGCTTCTCTCGTATCTAGCACAGTATCAGCTCTGTGTGCTTGTGGTATCAAACACACACACCAAAAAGCCAGATTAGGACAGATAACAGGGCAAGTAAAAATATCTCCAAGATTTTCTTTATACAAAGTAGTCCACCAGAAACCTAATATTCCCTCCTGTTCTCTCTTAAATGACTTACAGAAACTGAACTGAATATTAAAATACAGGCAGCACAAGGACAGATTTTCAGTGAAAATGCCTCATTGATTTCTTTGCTTGCGAGACCCCAGCTATCAAAACAAACTAACTCTAGTCAATGACATAATGACATGTTTATAGCCTTTGTGTTTCCTTCCCTTGAGCTTCCTCGTTCATAACCTCACATGCCTGAGTTTGTATGTGACTTTCGTAGATAATTTCTATCAATCTCAGAGCGATACACAAATGCTGGGATCTCTACACAGAAATGCATGTCTTCTGCAGCCTGCTGCCTATCTATTTCAGTCTAGTTGTTTGATCTCTTTTGTGTCAATCTAAGCAATCTTCTTCAAGTCCCACAGTCCATGAAAGCAGTGGAAAGACAGGGAACTAAAACTTCCAATTTGCTCTTGATTCATGGCATGAAAGTGGTAGCAGACAGAGCTCTAATAAAATCAACCCCTTAAACCACAAACTAAGTTTTTGGCGTCCCGTACCTCCTGAGATAGAAGTATGGATGTAAGATCTGGGGACTTTAGTAAGTTTTACCTCAGACAAGCGTCACTGGTCTCACAGACGTTCCCCCTGCAGCTATACCAGGCCTTGACACTCAGTTTCTGTCCCACATTACTTTGCAAAATGGCTGCAGGGCAGAAGCAGCCTTACTGTGCAAGGAAGAGGGATAGGGATGGAGAAAACGGACAAACTTCCAGGTTCAGCTGACCCACTTTGTTCAAGTCTGTCAACTTCAGTGAAAGATAATGGTTCTGTCTCTGAATATATTTGCACTAGACATAGTGCAAAGGAGTTTGCAAAATTGCAAGGTATCTTATAAGACATGAAGTTTGCTCCTGGTCAGAATGAAAGGTATCATTTAAAAGACAAGTGATTTGAGAACAGGAATAAACTTCTATCTATAAAATGCACTGTAGGCAAATGCCCCCTGGCCACTGGGGAAAATGAGGGCTGGAAAGTGATACCCATATTGAAGAAAAAAAAAATTTATTTAGCAATGGGAGACCACAGGGCAAACTCATGCCATGGTTGGGACAAGTGGTGAATGTAAAAAGTCCTTTTATAATTGTTTAACCAAATCCCCAGGCCATGGATGTAGCGGTGAGAGGGACAGCAGTTCTGGAGGGCATTGTGAGGGTAAAGAAAGAGCATTTTTCAGGCCATGTGTTGTCAGTATGATTGTTCTGTTTTTCCTCCTTACTCCACAGCGTCTTGTCTCCATGAATATGCCACTGAATAGTGATGGGACTGTCATGTTCAATGCTACTCTCTTTGCGCTGGTCAGAACAGCACTGAGGATAAAGACAGAAGGTAATAATAACCTTACTGACTGCAAGGGTACCTGAATGATGTCCGTGCAACAAGTGCTAAGCTGGGATGCAACATAATGACATACTCTGCAAAAGTCTTCCGGTTATCGATATGCAGCACATAATACAAAAAGCTAAGTAAATGGTAAATGTATTTGGAAGAATAATATCTTCTAGGGAGAGAGCAATGTTTCTAGCTGGGTGTTACCTAGAAAGCTGTTTTTTCCCATGGTATCATCATAGATTACAGATCATTTTCTTTATGACAGTCTGGAATTTAAAAGCTTCAAACATACTATGTGGCGAAACCAGAAGAAGGAAGAGGGGCAAAGCTTCCCTTTGTGTAAACTGTCTGTGGAATTATGCAGCTTTCTGACCACTTTTACCACTAATCTGCCAGTCCATGGGAAGCAGCAAAGCATAGGCCAGATGTCTCACCTCACCAAAATTCGTCAGGTGTTTCCATTAGCAGATGTTAACATGACATTTTAGTAGCAATGTTGTTGTAGGTCTAGGAACATATGGGAAGCCAAGGGCATACAGACTATTAGTATCTTTTCATAGACCAGAGGATAGAGTTGGGGAAAGCAGACAAGCTTTTGGGCTCAGCTTGTCACCATTGTTGAACTATGCATATTACCTGCTGTAGTGAAAAATATTGGCCCTGAGTCTAAACGTGGCTTCACATATTAAATGCATACCTTAAAGAGCGTGTAGAGTGGTGATTCACAGCTAAACACCTTGCCTCAGGAGTGACTGCATTACATTTTAGGCAGAGGAAAGCAGAGACCAACAGAAGCCTAGCTGCCATGTGAGAATTACACTGACAGCTGAGGTAAAAAAAAAGGCTAATGAAATTAAAAATTGCATTAAGGCATTGGATGTTGTGCTAAGCAGAATTCGACTGCAGCAGAAGTGGCTTTCCTGGGGAGGGGGGAAAAAAAAGCCAGCCTCAACCTCTGTAGGACATCTTGTGTCTTCTGTCTTATCCTCAAACTCTGACTCATTGTCAGTGATCCCCGTGAAACCATATGAAGTCTCAAACTGCTTCCCTTCTTGAATTAACAACATCTTATAAGTAGTTAGGGCAAGAGCTTGGAATCAGCTCTCCTGAGTCAAATTTCTTACTTTGATGCCATCCAGCTGTTTCATCCTCAGTAATTTACTTAGTCTCCCCATTTTCACTCCATCGTGTTAACAGAGCTGCTGGCACACAGAGCCCTGTGAAGCTCACTGAGGACCTTGGGGTGCTATAAGGACAGCTGCAGGAACAGGAGGTCTGGGGGGAGAAGACAGTGGTTTAGTATAGGTAGAGAGAAAAGAGCACTTCGAGCATAAGGGATTTGAAAGTACATAAATCAAGAAATTAAAATGAAGCAGCTTGAAAAGAAAAAGGAGAGGATATAGAAGGAGAGGATATGAACTGAATCTTCTCTACTCTCAGAGATGTGGTGTGTCTGGCCTAATGCCTCATCAGCAAAAAGCTTCTGAGAGAAAACAAGTAATTTATAAGTTTAAACAGTAACTCTAACAGTAAGGCTTGTTACCTTCTATACTGTTCCTCAGAGAGTAAACAAGAATATCCTGAGAGTGTCCTGTGTGTCGGATAGTGAAGGCTTTATGGATTCTTTGAGTGCCTTCTCAGAGCACTGCACAAGTTCTCTCCAAGACAGACTCTTGGCACTGTGAAGGAGCTGACATAGGCTGGGATACAGGGAAGCAGTGAGTAGCTCCTGGGAAGGACTGAAAGCAGACCCAGATCTTCCAGGTTCCATATACACTTTTACCACCAATTATTTGTCTTCCCTGGGCAGCAGTTTTCTGGTAGGAGACTTTTATTATCATCATATTTAATCTTCATAGGATCTGGACTAAAATTTGGAATTGTTTAGTGGAATTGCTGCTTTTCAGGACAAAGTAGCACTGCTGTTCCATCGTTTCTGGCTACAAGCAGTAACACAGTGTCAGCAAATACCATGCACCTTCCCACCCTTAGATGATTAGGTACACTTAGGAAGAAGGTCTCTTGCTGTGAGGAACTTTAGCCATGGTCAGAGTTATCTTTGTGCAAAACCTTCTACTGATGAAGAAGCTCTACTATTTTCCTCCTCAAATTGCTGTGCTAGACGTGTGAAATTGCTCCTCTGCAGGGCCTGGCTTGATTCTGTCTCTGATGATTTTCACCCTGCAGGTAACTTGGAGCAAGCCAATGAAGAGCTGAGAGCAATAATTAAGAAAATCTGGAAGCGCACCAGTATGAAGCTGCTGGACCAGGTGGTGCCTCCCGCAGGTGGTGAGTGCAGGGTCCTGTCCTGGTCTGTGAAATCTCTCTGTCCCTCATTCTACCTATCATGTCCTACTGTACCTTGTGATCATGAGGTGGAATATGGGGTGCATGTTTTCTTCTTCAAGCTGTAACTTGTTTACGTGGGTAGGTATTTCATCAGGCTGAGAACTGTTTCTGTCAGTAATAACTATGATGCTCTTATCTTCCCTGCTGGGAGATCAGAGAAAGAGGAAAGGGTCTCTAAATAGGAATTATAAACCTTCATTCCTAGATTTTACCCCAGTCATGGGTACATGTTCCCCTGGACATTGCCCATTGGCTGCTGTGAGCAAAGCAAGCAAGTGGAGCTCCAGAGAGGTTGTAGACTTAATTAGTAAACATTAAAAGTGGTCCTTTCACTCAAGGTAACTGTGCAGCTCCTTCTCATAACCCTTTTGTATTTACCAGAGCTATCTTTTCTACAGCATAACACTTTCTACTATGTAGACTTATGGAATTGGGGTCAATCCTCAACCAGTCTGAATTGGTATAATTGTTCTAGGTTTCTATGCTGCATCCCTGATGGGTTGCAATCACAAGGGGTCTGGGCTCTTCCTTCTCTAGGTGTCTTGGGAGCCAGGATGTGTCCACTATCATCTTCACTGACTTTCCAGGGGGCTCCAGGGGTTGTAGCACAAAACAGCTCTTGGCAGATACCTGACATTTCTAGTGAGCTCAGCCCTCTCTTAAGTGAGATGGAGCTCTTGGCAGATACCTGACATTTCTAGTCAGCTCTTGAAGTCCTGCTCAGGCCTCTCTTAAGTGAGATGGAAGTTTGGAGAAGGGAGGAGAGTTACCAGGGTAAAAACTAAGTGTACATTTTGACGCATGAATAGTCTGTGTTGAGTGAAAAGAGCAAGTTCCTGGGGGCTGGAGGTGGCCATTTTGATCCTATCGCACCCATGGATACAACCCAAAAAGGGATCAGTACAGAGAAGGGTCAGATATGTCTGGGGCAGATGGTCAGCCCCGAGTCATTAGTGAGCCCAGACTCTGAGTACACACTTACCCCAGGCGTGTTATAAGACAGGGTGTTAACCCAGACTGGGAGGCTGCTGCTAGAGCAAAATCCTATATGGTAAACTAGTACTGCAAAAATTAGGAGGCATTTCGCCATAACCAAGGTGCATCCATAGCTGTTCTCTGGCAGCAGAAGTAGTCTACCCAAGTGCCACTGGCTCTTCTTCTTCTGAGTACTCACAGTAAGCTCTGTGAAATAATCACTTACTTCAGGCCCTGATACCATGAGATACCATACATACTGGTACCACGAAAAGCAAAGAAGTACTGTGGGCTCTACGGTTTCTGCTTTGAATTGTAAGTCTCACATTCACAGATTTACTGTTTAAAATCAGTTGCTTATGTTGTTTATTTTTTTGGACATGCCCCTTTTCAGATGACGAGGTGACCGTTGGGAAGTTCTACGCCACCTTCCTAATCCAAGAGTATTTCCGGAAGTTCAAGAAGCGTAAAGAGCAGGGCCTGGTGGGCAAGCCCTCGCAGCGCAACGCGCTCTCTCTGCAGGTGAAAAACGGGCCAGGGATGGACGGGGGGCAGCTGAGGCATTTGGATCCACTTCCCTCTCAACCATTCTGGGAGCTGCAGTGGGTTATCCCTGCTGGAAAGGCACTTGTAGGCACCTTCAATTCAATCCCTCGGAATAAGCACTTACCTACCACAGGCCATATCTACTGGCTCTGGAGGTGAAATAAGCAAGTGAGCTATATATATGGTTTAGCAATCAGCTGGTGATGTCTGAAACTTAGGTTCCCTTTGGAAAGCTGGTATGAAGTGTCTGGCAGATATTTATTACCACGTTCATTATACCCCTTCTGAGGGGAGTCAGTATAACTGGTAAGGGAGAGTATGTTGCCAAGAGGCTAAATTAATTAAAAAGCAAGAAATATGCCAAGGCATCGTAGTCTGTAGCTGAGGACATCAGATTCTAATACCCACTGTGCTACAGGTTTGCCGAGAAGATTACTAGACTGTACAAAACAATGAGAAAGTCCAGGTGATCATACAGGCAGTGCCATGTCAGTCCTTCCGCTGAAGACAGGGAAGAAGTGTGACACTGAAGTTCCAACAAACAAAAATGTGTTGTGATACAAACTCAGGGCACAGTTAGAGAGGCTTGAGCACACCCCCAACGTATCCCACTGGGTTGACTCTCTTGTTGACTGGTGTCCTTTCCAGTCAAGAAGGCTTTTGAAGACTGTCCAAATCCAGATGCCAGAAGTTCAGCTATTAAATCCATATTTAAGCTCCTGACTAAAAAGAACAGAATTTCAGAGACACCGAGTACATGGTTCAGCTGGAACTGTGGGCGCTGTAGGGTTTCTGGCTGTGGATCTGAGAACCCAAAGATGAATGCACAGAAACTTGCTTAGTCAGGCCTGTGGATTTATGCCTATGTCCTGTAGTTATGAAACCAAATGACTAGCAACGAGCATTCCTGGGTTGAATTGTTGGTGCCTTCAGAATTGATTATGTGACTAGGAACAAGTCACCTAAGCCCTTTGCAAACTGCTAAGAGTTTCTCCATCTCTAAGCTAGAGATGAGAGAACAGAATTTGGTGCAGTTTTACCAGGATCTGGGGATGCTGTACTAAGTAAAATGGCCTCACAGTGCTTGGGAAGAAGTAACACTGCTTTTATTTCTCATGTACCCACTCGGAGATATGAAGCTGTACAGTTTGCCGTTTTGCAGGCTGGTCTGCGTACGCTCCACGACATCGGGCCAGAGATCCGACGAGCCATCTCGGGAGACCTGACAGCTGAAGAGGAGCTGGATAAGGCCATGAAAGAAGCTGTTTCGGCCGCCTCCGAAGATGATATCTTCCGGGTAGGTGTTGAATGAGTTCACATGCTGAGGATAGGCCTGAAGCTTAATGCAACATGTGTTTTATACACCCTGTATTTCAGCTGGCCTCTCTCTCTTGGTTTCTACAGCATGCTGAAAAGCAGACTAGTAGACTCAGAGACAAGCTCTGATGATCTTATGTGGGTTTTATTACCTTTTCTTTTCAATGGAAGGTTATGCTACATAAATCCTAAATGAAATCAGAGTGAGAATGGCTGGATGTGGCCAAAGAGTCTGAAGAACAGCTCAATTCACATACCGTCCACAAAGCATGAGTCAGGCATACACCAGTGTTTTGTTCAAGCTTTCTTTCAGTGGCCCAAATAGTATCCTTTCAAAAACTATACCAGAACCTAACAGCTTCCATGGTCCTGGAGGAAATTTTCTGAATAAGTTACCTAAATCCTCTTTTTCTTACTTCATCCTATTTCTTCTTATTGTCTCCTCCGGCAATATTTCCTAATGTTCTTTGGCATTTCCCCCCCTTCAAATATTTACAAAAAGTTACTGTCTGTCCCTTTCCTTTTTGAAAATCTAACTAGTACAGGAAATTCTTCTTCATGCAGTCTTCTCGGGTTTAATAGTTAGTAGTGCTCTGCTCAGATTCCTTCTTATGTATAGACACACATGCAGCTGCACTGTGAAGACCAGACAGCAGTAACCTTGTTCTTGCACCTCTATCCACTCCTACATTGTTAGGGTTGGTGGGAGGTTGAGACACCTTTGCCTCACATATGCACCTCTCTATTACTGTAAAGCCAGTCCCTGGAAATATCTCAGAAAGGAAAAGCTTTCATGGTGTGTCTGTACCAGACCTCTCTGGCAGACAAGTCCATGCACTCTAACTTCTGGTAGAGCAAGCACCAGTGCAGTAGTGCAAAATTTGGTCCTTGTATTTTCTTTCCTCCTAAAACAGGTTCAGCAACAAATACAATGCCCCTTGCAAATCTTCTTGCTTATAAAATGAAAATTGCTTCTCTTTCCTTGACAGAGAGCCGGAGGCCTGTTTGGAAACCATGTCAGCTATTACCAAAGTGATGGCAGAAGCGCGTTCCCCCAAACGTTCACCACGCAGCGACCTTTGCACATCAACAAGTCTGGCAACAACCAGGGAGATACTGAATCTCCATCTCATGAGAAGCTGGTAGACTCCACCTTCACTCCCAGCAGCTACTCATCTTCGGGCTCCAATGCCAACATCAACAACGCCAACAACACTGCCTTGTGCCGCTTCCCCAGCCCGCCCAGCTACCCCAGCACCGTCAGCACAGTAGAAGGCCACGGCACCCCCTTGTCACCCGCCATACGCGTGCAGGAAGCTTCTTGGAAACTCCCCTCCAAAAGGTAAGCTTCACAGCAGAAAGCAGCCTGAGGGATCAGGGAGGGGAACGTGCACGGCAGCACCACAGCACTGCTGCTAAAGTCACCCGCTAGCTCGAGTCACCACCAGCTAGAAACAGGAGAAGACGTTGCCCTGCTTGCAGCCTGGAATCAGCATTCTGGTTCGCTGCTTGTGCCAAAGCCCACGAGGCAGCAGATATGCACTGGCTCACCAGTAGGAAGCAGCAGCACATAACACCCTCGCTGACCAACACACTGGATCTCCTTGGGCTTTTTCATGAAGAAACCTTCATAAGAACCAAGACAGCCCTCCTTCTCCACAAGGAATTTTATCTACTGGTAATTGAAAGAAAAAGGAACCCAACAGGGAGTTTTAAGGAAGTCATTTTTTTCCTCCAGTGGGTCACATTCATAAAGAGGTTACCAAAGACATTATGTGAGGAGGGTTACAAGGATTTCAGACATGCAGCACTACATAAAGCAAGGAAAATCCTTTTCTTTGAACAGCTTTCAGGCTGAAACACAAGTCTGCACACAGATAAGTAAAATCACAGGAATAACATTTCCAGCACTGGAAATTTTTAACCCTTCCAGTAACAGTGGGAGGGAGATGGAAATTTGTTTGCAGTGCAACTAGGGGGCAGTGTGAGAAGGTGGAGGAATGCTGCCATATAGCAGGAAAAAAAAGAAAAAAAAAAAGCAGAATATGATGGTAAAAAATCAATGGGTGCAAAATTACCTGAGTGAGAAGTGCTGTGGCTTCCATAAGGAGACCAGAGGAGTTGCAAAGCATGTGTAACTGTTTGTCACCTGTTGCTGATGTGACATTGCTAACATGGTGTCCTTTTCTCTCCTTGCTTCCCTGGACACGTTCCTTGAACTAGGACGCATTACTATGAAGCACTGGCACGGTAGGTACCTCTCTCCTGTTATGATACTCTCCATAAGATCCATTGTTCCTCCCATTGACTATTGCAATTTCCATTAATGTTGAATGAAAATTCTTCTTTTTGGTGTCAGTAAGGATGAAAAAGAAGTATCGCTCCCCAAGGCATGTCCAGAAAATATTCCTGTCTTGTTTTGGGGTTTTTTTTTTGTTCTTGTTGTTGTTTTTTACCCACAGGCAGATAGTGATGTGTGGTCACCTAGATTTCTGCCTGGGCTCACACACCTACACACAGTCTAATCACAGCACAGGAAATGTTCCTTGGTGTGTTCATACAAAAATTCTGTACTGTTCAGTGAAATGTAGACTGGTGAACAGGAGGAGCTACCCCCTACTAAGTTCTCTCTGCACCTCAGCAGTTTTAAGCACCTCCCATCTCAGCAGGTTCAGGAAGGCTACTGCAGCATTCTCCTTCAGCGTGTTCTGTACCGTGTGTATACTCATTTCTCCCAGTGTTTTTACCTGAATCAAATGGGAAAATAATGTTTCCTGTCCTGACCCTGAAAGATGCAAAAAAAACTGCCACATTACTGCCCTCTGAGAATATTCGTAACAGACTCAAATTGGCTCCATTACCTCCCTGCTGGATTCAAGCTTCCTTCAGCTTTCATTCTACTCCTCACAAACCGCAGAGTGGAGCGAAATATAAGATCCCAGAATGTGAAACAGAGGGACAAGAAGGAAACAGGCAGGGAATTATGGGCTCTCATGCTTAAGAATTCGAGTAGATTGTACTGAAGCTCTCTACAGTTAGTGATGAGGAAAGTAGGGCCAAAGGCAGCAGTGAACAGTAAAGTGGTGGATAGGAAGCAGGAAAGAGGAAAGGTGCAGAATAAAGAATCGGGGAGGCAGAGACCATACACGACAGAGCTGAGAGGGTAAGCAGGGGGTAGGCCAGAGCCTCATAGCTGGGAGGCTTCTCTTAAGCAAGGCTTTTGCAACAAGAGAAAAAGATGCATCTCCAAGAGCTCAGATTTTGCACTGAGGCGAATCTGTGGAAATGTGGTCGGTGTAATGTGCACATTCCCAGAGGGTAGACATGGTCACAGTAATGTTTTTACACTCTTGTTCAATTCGGATTTAAGAAACCTTCCTCTGAAAGAGGGCAAAGAAAAGAAGTTGTTGCTTTTCTGTTTGTGAACTCTGCAGCTCTGTTCAGTCATTGATTTTTCTATGATAGCTCTGCACCATTATGATAAGTTGAGACAGATGGGGCCTGTCATACTTGTCTTTGTAACACGTTTGCTTTCCCATCTCCATATCTTGACTTGTGTTTTTTTTTTTTTTTTTGCTCATTAGCTCCAGTTCCAGAGACAGCCAGCTGGCAATTGTTTGCCAAGAGGAGGTTTCTCAGGATGAGACTTACGATGAGAATTTGAATGAAGACATGGAGTACTGTAGCGAACCAAGTCTGATCTCTACTGAAATGTGAGCTTAGCAACTTTAATCAATGTGTTTTGGGGGCTCTTTAAGATAGAGAGGTAGGAAAAGGTGACATTTTTTTCCTAAAAACATTCAGTTTCTAGTATGTGGCCAGAAAATTTGAGTCAGATAACACAAATATCAGAGAGGAAAAAAAAATGTAGTTCAGCCCTAAGAAATAACATTGAAACAATTTTTCTCCTAGGATTTTTTTCCTAGTTGTTTTTCTGTCTTCTCTCTCAGTGGGGTATCTGGATTTTATATGTCGAGATCCATTCTTCCATTCATTTCTATCTTCTGGCATCTCCTGATCTTATCTTTAGAGCATTTCTCTGCCTCACAGTCTCCGTGCCTTCCTCTGGATCATTCATAGACAGATGGTAGCTAGGGTAGTTGCATCCGTTCAATAGTGTGTTCTTCTTGGCTTTACTACTGGAAGAGGGGTTATTGTCCAATAGGATCTGTTTTTCCAGCTAATCTCTCTTCCTATTTCCAGGCTTTCATACCAGGACGACGAAAATAGACAACTTACTCCACCAGAAAACAACAAAGGAGAGGACACCCGGCATTCCCCCAAGAAAGGATTTCTGTGCTCCTCCTCACTAGGTAACATCCCAGAGTGATGTGCAGGCTCTGCTCTCCTCTGCCTTCACTAAATTTCCACATCTTACTGGAGAAATCCTATCATGTGTGGGGCCTGAGTGTTGGTGTTATTGCCCTTGGCTCATGAGACCAGAAATCTTACAGTGTCCATAAGATTGTGATTGTGTAGATGCCTTGCAGACACCTGTGCTGATTTTATGCTCAGTCAATAGGTGAAACTGTGGCTGTTTGGACAGTCTGTGGTTATTTGGATAATCCATCTGATCTGTTTGATTAAGCCTGTATGTGAATTAGGAGAGTTTATTAGAGTGCTGTAGATTGTCCAAACAGCAGGGAGCTGCTGGATGGACTAGCCTTCGGTATATGATATTCTGTTGTGTGGGCATTCAGCAGGAGAAAGGAGAGGTTTTATTTTTTGGCTGCTCTGAAGAAAAGAATGAATTTCAGATTAAGTTAATACCATAAGAATTTGCTTTCTGCTGTAATTGTAATTGGATGTGTTCACATGCTTGAGTGTGCAGACTAGGCTCAAGTGAAATCCATGGATCATAAGTTTTTATGAAGGTACCAGGATAAATGGGAGAGTTTGGAAAGAAAGAAAGAGTAGAGAGTTTTTCAGCCTTTTTCCCTGAGTAGTTCTGTGGGGAAAAATGGGGGATGGGAGCAAGAATTGAAAAGAATATTGTAAATGGAGTAGATTCTTATAAAATAAACAGTGACAGCCTATGCAGGGAAATGTTTAAATGAGGATCTCTTCACGTAAAGCCTTCACTTCACAATGCTCGCACTACAATTACTCTATTTCAAAACTTAAAATAGTAGGCAACAAGAATTCCTGTCTGTCCTGAAGGCCGAATTTGCAATCAGACCTTGATACAATGTTTCTTTAACTTCATTCCAATGAATATTTATATAGTGATGTCATATTAATTTTACTAGGCTTTGCTCAAGAAAGAGGATTTTTTTTTTAATCTGCATCATGGCGTTAGTTCTATGTATCATAAGACATGTTGCCTCCAGGCCCTGAGGGGAGCTTTTCTCAAAAGATCAATAATACAGACATTACTGTTTTCAGAATTCTAATTTTCTTTCCTACTTTAGAAAAATATCAGTGGGCCCAAGAAGTGCATGTAATATTTACTGTGCCATTTATTGTGCAGCTTTCAGATTTATTTGCTACAATTTGCTACTGTTCAGAAGTAGAGCCTGCATACTTGTTCATATTATACCTTGTAATACGTTTTAATTCCTGTTTAAGGAATGTATTTCTTATATTTACAGAAACAAAGCTTAATTTCATAGCAAATAAACACTGTGGACATTTTAACTGTTCCCTAAAAATCCTTTATATTTTAAAAAAAAAAAAAAGGCTCCTGGAGGCTTGGGCATTTAGGCTGCATGTCTAAATACCCAAACCTTTATTCAACCATTGATGTAAATAATTCACTTCCACTTGACCTTGCTATGGATACAGCCTCATAAACCGTGGCGCTGGGGAAAACAAGGGTACAGCCAGGCCCAGGGCCAGAGCATCTTTTGCCATTGCTAGCCGCCTTGAGGGTTTTGCCTGAACTAGGGAGATTTGGAAATACTTTTACTACTTAACAGGGAAATAAGCTGCCAAGGACAGTGTTTTCAAAGGGAAAAATAAAAGAAAATCATGATACAGAGCTGCTATCTTGCAACTTGCTTGGAAGATAGCACTGGTTGGTCCATGGATCTTGACTGCATTTTGCAAATGCAACTGTTTTTGAAATGAGCCAGGTTTTGAGGGGAAGTTTCCACCAAAGTGGAAAGTAAGGATGTCTTTGCTCTCTCAGCAGTGGATTTGCATTAAAACAAAATGAAATCAGATTATCTGTAGTGTTGTATGAGTAATGGACACAATTCTCTGTGATTGTGTTTCAGGTCGAAGAGCATCTTTTCACTTAGAGTGTCTGAAAAGACAGAAAAACCAGGGTGTAGATGTCTCACAGAAGACAGTTCTGCCTTTGCATCTGGTACACCATCAGGTAAGCTTTAATAACCATGAAAGGCCCAGCAATGCAACTGAGGATCTGCCATCTGCAGTGCCTCCCACTGTCTTGCAGCCAACTTTTTAAGAACCTTTAGGGATTGTTTCTCACCCATATCAAAGGTTCATTTTTTTTGGAAATTGTATTTGTCCTCATGCTCATTCCGGTTTTTAGGATTTTATCGTTCCCAGAAGAATGCTACAGGAACATAACTCCAGAGTTAGCAGAGTTATCATTATCTGATGTCCTTGAAAGGGAAGAATAAAAAACTAACTAAAATGTCAAGATAAAAATAACTACCCAAATTGCACACTGCAGTGTAATCACACTGGCTTTGATGATAGTACTCATATGAATAAAATGTGCAAGGTCTACTTCCATATTAATTAAAGGTAACCAGTAACTGTAATTAATCATTTAAAAAAAAATAAACTGATGACATGTGATTAATCAGCTTCTTAAGCTCTTTTTAACTGCATTCAGCAGCCTAGCAAATGTATTCTTAGGAACGTATCTATATCATTAGCCAGCTGTCAATGTTGAAAGTAGACTTGTGTCTTTAAGCTTGATGGCCCCCATAATCTATCACCATAAAAGAAACAGGTGCAGACAGTAGTGCCAACCCTGCAATGCAGGGTACCCTGCTCCATACAGTCCCCCAGGCAGAGCAGAATTGCCTTTCCACCTCCCTGGGCTGCCATAAGGGAGAAAATACCAGAAACTAGCAATAGGAGGAGCGGGAAGTCATAGCAGCAAGAGAGAGATGAGTGCACCTTCGACTCCCTGTCTTTTCTTACCACCATCCATGGAGGCAGCAGTAACCAGCAGTAGCATTTGGGATAGAACTTCATAAAGCAGTGGTTATTGCTGTTGTAGGACAACCAGAAAAAATATTGAGGCATCGAGTAGTGTGTGGTGAACAGCTTCCTGCCCACCTCACAGCAGTAAGAGCCCTCCTGAGGCTTTCTGCCTTCCCACAGCAAGACAGGAGGACAGGAAGCATTCCTTCCATCCTCCACCCTGCTAGCTGGGAATCACCTCCTTCCAAGGGCAGAAGCATGTATGAAGAGGGAGGACCTACCTTACCCTTCTACATCCCACCATGCAGCTCCAAACCTTGAGGGATGCAGCTCTACCCACCCCAGCCTGACTCTGCTGGCCTGCAGGATTATCCTGAAATAGGTGTCAGGGCTCTGGTGGGGAATGTTCAGCAGTGTTAGTCTGTCTACAAAGATGTTAGTCCACCCAGAAGAGTACTTAAACCAAGAATATGAACAGAAAAGGTTGCTTCTACTAAGTGCAATATATTCTGTTGCCTGTGAATGCTTGAAGAGGTATTCTCATTAAGTACTCATACATACAGATATGTAAATTTATGCAGATGAAGCTTGAAGCAGTCCTACAGAGCTTCTTAGCTTCTTCATCACCTTACATTTGGATAAGTACCTTGTATGAGTTTCCCCTGAAATTGGTTCAGTTATTCTTCTTAATTAAGGCAGGGATCTCCTTGAAGTCTGGTCAGTTTAAGCAAATTGCTGAGGTCATCAAAGCCTGCAGGACATGATCTGTACAGAAGAATTTAAGGACTTTTCTCCTCATTGAAAATCAATAGGAGTCTTGACATCTAATTCTTGGTCAACATTGTTGGGCTAACTGACCCAATAATGGATTCTTATTTATTCGTTTTATTGCAACCCAAGGATTTCCATTGCAAATGAATTGAACACATGTTAAAATGCACTTAACTTCAGATACCTAAAAAAGCTGTCTAGTTTAAACTGGTCGGTTCACTTCCATTGTACTCGGGAAAAGAGCATCCTCAAAGAGCAAGTGTAAGTCCAGTATAAGTCTCATCCTCCAGAGGACATTTTCAGACAGGTATGCAAATCAGGCAGGATGCCTCTGGGTGTTTCTCTAGACACCAAGTTTACACTAAACACATAGCTTCTAGATAGCTCAAATTGAGTGAGACTAACTTCATCCATAATAACAGGATTGCCATCCAACACAAATCCACATTCTTTTGTATTTTCTATGGGTCAGCATTTCTTGGCTCACATTAGGCAGTAGGGAGCTCTGTGAGGTAAGCTTTTGATTTTGGTGGCACTGCTCTTGAATGAGGCAGCACTCACAATGAATAAGGAATTAGATGAGCCTTGTGCAAATTGGAGTTTCTTGAGAAATTTATGTTCTAGAAGGAGGCTGATGACTCAGGGGTTATACATTTGACTATGGGAGGGACTGGGTGGTTGAAAGGGATACTCATCAGACAGGAATCTTACCACGACCAGCAGATGCTTAAAATCTAGAGGTGGATTTACAGTTGTTGCCAGCTGCGGGCATCTCTAAGATTCACTTGTGGCATGTATTCAGGTTCTACAGTACATACTGATAGAAAACACAGTAACTGGGAGTTAAAGCTAGCTGTATGAGTGGTAGCAGTGGTGATAAAAAGAATTGCTGCCTGACCTACTGGAGAAGAGGTGGTGTTTCTGGCAAGGCTGTGGAGAGAAGGTTTGCATCACTCCTGTGAGTGGGGGGTCCAAGGCTGAAGAACCACAGTCTCGAAAGCTTTCAACCTGCTGCTTGGCACCAAAGCAGGATATGCCATTTGAAGGAAAGCTTCCAAAATGCATTCACAGGAAACATCTAAACTATTCCAGGATCTGGCAGCTCTTTTCACAAAGCTCAGGAACTTCCAAGCCTTTCTCGGATAGTTTCTCCACCACCTCACCGTGCTAGCCCAGCTGCTTGCTCACCTTGTTCCTTCTCTGTCCACAGGCGTTGGCAGTGGCAGGCCTGAGTCCCCTTCTCCAGCGAAGCCATTCCCCCACCACGTTCTCCCGCCTGTGCGCGACGCCTCCCGCGACCCCCTGCAGCCGCGGCTGGCCACAACAGCCCATCCCGACTCTGCGCCTCGACGGAGCAGAGTCCAGCGAGAAGCTCAACAGCAGCTTCCCGTCAATACACTGCAGCTCTCGGTACCCTGACAGCAGCGGCTGCAGCAGCCCGAGGAGAGCCAGGCCAGTGTCCCTCACCGTCCCCAGTCAGAGCGGAGGGAGCAACAGGCAGTTTCACGGCAGCGCTGGCAGCCTGGTTGAAGCGGTAAGACTGTGGAGTCATCCAGGACGCGAGCAATATCAAGGACACCTTGAAATGTGGCCCTCAGAAGAGCATTCCAAAACATATATTGCTGCTCACAATGCCAGGAGAGGGAAAGCCCATTTCCAAGGAGGGGTTAGCAGCGTGAATGGGAGGAGAAGGAAGATTATTAGGGAAAATATAGCAGGAAAGAGCGTTGAGATTGGGGTGCCATAAGATTGACAATGCAGAGTACTAATGTTTGTCTTTGTCTCTGGTTCCCTACCTGCTTTTGAAGGTCTTGATTTCGGAAGGACTGATGCAGTTTGCTCAAGATCCAAAGTTCATTGAGGTCACAACCCAGGAGCTCGCAGACGCCTGTGACATGACGATAGAAGAGATGGAAAATGCAGCAGACAACATTCTCAATGGTAACAGCAAGCAGAGCCCCAATGGCAACCTCTTGCCTTTTGTTAACTGCAGGGACCCAGGGCAGGACAGTGCAGGAGAGGAAGAGGAAGAGGTGCAGAACCCGGATTGTAGAAAAAGTCAGGAGGAGCTCAAGGACAGCAGGATTTATATCAGCAGCCTGTAGTTGCCAGGGCTGGAAGCGATGCTGGTTTTTTATTTGTTTCAATGTTCCTAATGGGTTTGTTTCAGAAGTGCCTCACTGTTCTCGTGACCTGGAGTAACCGGAACAGCGTTCTTCATTCATTTCTGTTGGGACGAGTCGCAGAGTTGGGTGGTGTAAGAAAGCTTTTCAGGAGTGGATGTAACCCCAGCACGTGTCCATGAAGGAAGAGTGAGGAGGAGGAAGAGGAGGAGAGCCAGCTCCCTCTTTTTTTCGGTCCCTGCACAAGGAACGACGACTGCCTCCAGAGTGCAGAGGGGAACCTCAGCTTCCTGCGGATGGCCCTAGCCAAAAGGACCCTGCGTCAAACGGGTGTCTTTCAACTTTGCTTGTAAAAATCATTTTGCACATATTCTGTATGAGCCTCACCGTCTCCATAAAGCCAAGGCCCTTTGATTCGGAGGGAGAGGAGGACTTCTTCTGCTGTGGATTCCAGTACCGCCACCGGGAGGAGGAAGCAGAAGAAGCCCGAGGGCGCCCGGGGGGACAGGCGGCCGCGCTGCGAGCCCTGCCGAGCCAACCCGCAGAGACTCCCAGGCAGCGCTCCCTGCCAGCCAATGCGAGCTCGGGCAGCCGCTCCTGCCAGACAATCCGCGCTCAGGCAGCCGCTCCTGCCAGCCAATCCGAGCTCGGGCAGCCACTTGCCAGCCAATCAGAGCTCAGCCGGGCCGCCACAGCAGCCGGCGGGAGAGCGGGGAGCCGGCTGTGCGGTGAGGCTGAGCCGAGCGGCCCGGTACTTGCCGAGGTGGCCATGGGCTTGTGTAGATCTCTCCTTGTTTTGCGGTTTGATATTTTCTTGAAAGCATGTTGCAGTTTTTATTTTGACTATTTTTTTTTTGAAGGGAGAAGGGAGTGTTTACAAAGTTTTGTAATCACCTACCTTTTTTTGTTTTGGTTTATTTTCACCTTTGCAAATGTTAAATTGGTTTGATCATGTTGTATTATTTAAACTGGGTTTTTTTCTCCATTGAAATTTGGTAGAAGTACAACGATAGACAAGTTTTACCAAACATTATGTACACCAAGAATTTGTAATTTTATTTGCTAGCAATTGAAACCTCCTTTTTTTGTTGTTGTTTTATAATTTAAAGATAGTAGGCGATGCACTTAATATAGTCTTGCACATTTGAGTGATTGATTTGGGTTCTTTTTAGTGCTAAGTAGAGCTGTGAGTGTGGGAGCAATACCGAGCGAGTGTGCACGCGAGCGTGTGTGTGTGTAAGTGCATGCAGTTCTCCGCATCCTGGGTTGAACTGCAGGAGATCTGTACCTGGGGCCATTTGAATGCAAAAACAAACCACTGTCTCTGCTTTTGAAAGGGGAATCAGTAACTCTTTGCATTTTCTGTTCCACAAGATATGCAAAAACAATGCAATAATATTAATTTTAAAATACAATTGTAAGTTGTGCTGGCATTAAAACTGTACAGAAAAAAAATTATGGGGGTGGGGGAAAACTAAACACAGAAGGCGTTATGCTTCGATATATTCCGTGTGATGTTCTATTGCATTGATAATGTTTCTGTCGAAGAAACCGTTATACTTGAATTCAGGTCAGTTTCAGTATTTTTCAAATATTTTTTTAAAATGAATTGCAATTGTGCCAAGCAAATATAATGAATTGAATTAAGTTTGTTTAAAAGAAAAAGAAAAAGAAAAAAAAAAAAAAGAATCACTTCTTGTATATTTTGCTGCATGTCAAGTGAATCATTTCGTATTTGGAATGTGCCAAGCTTTACCTTTGAACTTTTAAGTGCTTTTTTACGTGTGGTTGGGGAAAAGGGGTACTGTTTTATTTTATTTTGTTTTTCTTTTTTAATTTGTATGATGAACAAAGTGTATCTGGTGTAAGTAACTATTCTGCAATCCACTGACAGGTTGAACGTTACTGATTTTGCATATCTTGTGTTCATTTTCCTTTTTTCTCACTCCCTTTAAACATGTACAATGACTTTATTGGTAGAGAATCTTTCTTCCTAAGACTGGGGCATTTTATTCAGGCTTTTTTCTCTTTCCGTTCTCTCAGTTTCTCTAAAAGTTTCTTCCCACTAGAGGGTGCCAAGACTCCCAAACCAATTTGGCAGATCCGTTCTCCGTATTCAGCTGGCACCAGCAATCCAAGGAGCAAGGCGAAATTCCTCTTTCAAATCTCTTCTGATAAATAGCTAACCCTCATCGGTAATAATTCCCATTCTCTGGGATGCAGAAATGAAGGAGGCAGAAGGATCAGCAAATGAAATTACCTAGCCCTGGCCTGGCCTGAGAGCCCGGAGAAAGTGAGGGAAGGAGCTCAGCAGAGTTGCTGTGGAAAATTGCTGCAGTCTGGCTTGCAGGTCAAGAGGCAGGTGTTAAGCGACCTAAACCATGCTTATGTGTTCCTATGCAACGTCTCTTCCCTCTTCCCAGACCTTAGTGGCTCAGATTGTGAGTCTAAGTCACCAGTATCCCAGCCATATTTCCGTACCTGTGAATGTGAACCTCTCTTCATTCTCCTCACCCTGGTCAGAGTCCCCAACCACTGACAGAGGCTGAGAAAACACAGAGGTATTATAGATTTTATGCAAGTGGTTTTGTTCAGACTACTGCTGCTTCTTTTCCTCCCTTTTCAAGAGCCAGTGCTGAGTTGGAGCTGACTCAGAACTAAACTTTCATTCAAACCTTGAACTTCTGCAGATGTTTGAGAACATCGTTGATTACACTGGTTTTGTAACACCCTTGTTTTGTTTCCTGGGTCCGCTGGGGCCCTAAAGCAAAAATAGCAAAGAGTATTTTTGACAGTGAACTTTTTTTCAGTGTTGTTATGCACTGGCCCGTAGCAGCTCAAGACATCTTGCAAACAAAGCCTTTTAAACCAGAGACATGGGAATCCACTTAATCAGCCATCTGGCCTCCAAGTCCTATTTCAAGCCTTCCCTGGAGAAAGCTACCCCTGACGTCAGTCACTGCTGTCCTTTCCATCCGCTGTGGCTGAGATGGGCCTGCAAGCGCTTGTCCCTTGGGGAGTTTGCTTTGGCTAGAGCCAAAGTGCTCCAAGGCTACTTGAAAGGCAATATTGCTGTGCCTGAATTTTAAGGTCTCAGAAATCAGTTCAAGGGTTCCCTACCTCATTTTTTCTCACTAGAAAGTTCATGTGATTCTCCCAGCAGGAGACAGAGGTGTTCTCTCCTTCTGTGAAGCCAAGTACTGGTCCAGGCTAGGGGAAGCAGTGGGAATTTGGAGTGTCTGCTGGTGCATGTTGTCACCACTGGGATTTTTTTCTGATGGAAAGGAAAATGGTGGAAAGGATTATGCCCCATGTGTTTCGTTTTTTAAAACTGACTCCCTCAGGGGTCAGAGCCCACGAGAGGCAGGGAAATCCCTGCCCTCTGCTGAAGGCTCTCAGAGTGCTGCAGAGTGAAAGACACGCAGCTAGCAGAGGATGCAGATGAACTGCATGATCTGAAGGGTAGGTGCTAAATTTAGCGATTGCTGGTACCAGCTGTGCAAATTTCTGGGGAGGGTAGCTTTTTTTTCCCCTTTCTTTTTAATTCGAGGTACTTCCAATGTGCCTGTTGTGACAGACCTGAGCAAAGAGCTACTGCCTCCTTTAGGTGAGGTGGTGTCTAGGGGATGGTGGGAAGCGGGAGCAGGTTTAGTGCCTGGAGTGTCCCTCCTTCCCCTGTGCAGGGGAGCGAGCGGATGCTGGGTACAGTCCCTGTGCTGTGGATGGAAACGTCAACGGAACTGATGGCTGAGGAGTGGCGTGTAAGGAAGAGGAGAGCAGGGAGATGGATCTGCTGTTTGTCGCTGAGCGTCTCCGACGTGCTGAGTGCCCTGCGGACGAAAGACGTTTCTTGCAAAACAACAAACCTCCCTCTTATCGCTCCTGCTCATTGTTCCAGGCAGTACCGGGCCAGCCACACCAGGTGCATTTCTTTTTTTCTTCCTTATTTTGTGTGGCTGAAGTGACGAGGGAAAAAAAAAGCGGAACTCGTGATCCAGAGCTGGAGTTTCGTTACCCACAGACCTTTCTGCATCGTCTGCCTCTTCAGCTAGACGTGTGAGTGGTGATGGCGCAGATGCTGCTGCTACCGCAGGGCTCCGACCCGCTCTGTTACCCTGCCCACCGTGCGCAGCGCGGAGGGACAGCCGGAGAGGCGCCATGTACAGAACCGCATCTACTTCTGCTTTGTTTTCTGACTCAGAACCCTGTCCCCCTCGATGACAATGACGACGACAACAACAACAACAACAAAAAAAGGGCAAATGCATTTTTTACATTTCTTGATAATTTCCAAAGCAATGTATCATTGCTTTCTTTAGACTGACGCCAATATAACAGTTGTATGGGTCTCAGCCAGGCTCCTGTGTCTTTTCTGCCTGCCAGTTTCAGATTGCTGTATGAAATGTATGCGTGTTTGCACACAGACACAGTCATAGCAGGTAGCGGCACCGCGAGCCCGGGGGGCTGTTGACCTGTGCTGTAGGTACAGTTGGAGGCCTTGCTTCTTACGTGGAGATGAGTAACCCCCGGCCGGGCCGCCGGTGCGGCGGTGAGGGCAGCCGTACGGGGAGAGGAGGGGGTACCCGCAGATGCTCGCACGGGCCAGCCGCGAGCGTCCCCGCAGCAGGGGCAGGGTGGGGGAGAGGAGCCGCAGTGGGGAATACGGAACACAACCCAGTTGGTACAAGAACGAGAAGCCGCCTGGGGGCTCCTGCTCGTGGTGAGCTGCGGGCAGGCCCCATAACCCAGACTGTAGCGTGGATAAGGAAACGCTTCATTCCAGGCCATCAGTAGCCCCAGCTCCCATCTCGCTAATGCAAAGATAAGCTGAAAGGAGTACACTGGAGGCTAAGGAGGCTTTACTGATGCAGAGAAACGTGGAAATCAGAACTGGGCCCAGGAAAAAATGATTCTTTTCCCCATTTATTTTCATCTTTAAAGACAACAAGTACAAATTTCAAATAACAAATAGCTGCGTAGGGTTTCATTTTCACTCCTTTTGAATGTTGCAAGGTTAATAAAGTCTTATTCTGGGTTAGCAAGCCCAAGGATCCAAAAAGTTTCCAAGGGGATCTCGTTCCCCAGAGCTTTTGCTGTCCCAGCTGGAGCACGAGGGCTTTGCTGCTGTGGCAGCCTGTGCTGGGGAAGGTGAGGGCACAAGCACAGCAGGGCCATAGGTCCTGTACCAAAACAGGCTGGGCTTCGCTTAGAGAAGTCAGTAGGATCACAGTGGAATGGAAAATAAACCCTCTTCTTCTACAAACTTTAGCATTCTATTTAAACCCTCCATTCTTCCCCATCCCTTTATGAGGAACTTGACTTAGCTGTTAACACTTGAGCATTAAAAAACAAACAGGCCTTCGTTAGGGGCACAGGGCTTGATGCAGTTGCCTAAACGTGTGCCCGGGCTGCCCTTGGCGATGCCCTGCAGCAGCTGGGCCCCAGAGGGGCAGCTCTTCTCCAGGGCCCGCGCCGCGTCCCCCAGCGCCGCGGGGCTGGCGCGGCTCTCGGGGCAGCAGACAACTAGGCAACTCCATCAAGCCCCTTTCCAAAGGGCTAACTGAGAGGAGCAGCACCAATGACTGACGTTATAATGGAATCTGCTTTCGCATTCCCAAGGGCTTGGTTAGGCGCTGTCAGGAGCCCACATCCCCATTTCCACGCCGCGGCACGCAGACCGCCTGCGCTCCCGCAGCCTGCAGCTCGCCTCGCTCTGCACGGCCCTGAG